TTTTTTTTTAATAATTTATATATTTTAAAATTAATTTATACATATTTTAAAAATAATTTTTTGCCCAAAAAAAATTTAAAAGACAAACTCTTATTAGTTAAGCACAACCTAAAACATTTAAAGAAATTTTAAAAATTAAAATTTATTAATGGCTATTTTAAAGCTTGAACTCTAATTTTTTTTTTCTAACCTCCCTTTCCATATTTATTTATTTATTTATTTGAACATTCGTTTCATATTTATTTGTTTGAAAGTTTTCTTCATTGTACTTTTCAATCATTACGCGGTTTTGTGTAGGTTAGTTAGTTATCATGAATTTCAACATCAAATAATAGTTATAGAAAATAGAATCCCTACCAAATTTATAGCATCATTCGAGTAAACCCCACTCCAAAATTTAAAAAATTTTAAGCATATACTAGGCTTATGGTGAATTGGATAGGATGGTGTGGTGTGACGGGCACGTAAAAAAAAGAATAATATATGATGCATGTTAATAAGTTTCGGGATCAATTGAATAAGAAATTTTAAAGTCATAAATCTAATTGTTATATAGAATTTTAGAATATAAACTATACAATATAAAACGTTTATTTAATATTCTTTTTTACTATCTATTATTGCAATATCTTTTTTTTTTTTTTCGAAACTCTTCTTCACTTGCATCAAAATGTGAATTTAAACTTTTAATACAAGATTAAACTTTTAACAACTAAAATATCTTTAAAAAATTAAAAAGAAAAACTACTAACATCTTAAATTATCATTGAAACTTATATTTGCAAACCTTTCAATCAATCCCAAAAGAAAAATCCATATCCACCTTGTCCTTTTATTTAATTAATTCCATTGATGTAGTTGATACTTCGGAGTATCCCCGTAGATATTGTTTACTTAATGCCCGGTGTTTTCTTTTTGTTCTTTTTGCTTAAAGTGTTAAAAAAATTCCTGACTTTTTGTGACTTTGCGTGTTCTTTATCGTGATTGGACGAGCTTCGTGGCATCTTCCCAAGTCTACAATGCTTTTTAGGTCAATGCAAAGAACATCAGTGTTGGGGGGACATTAGTACTATAAAATGGTGTGTGGGTTTGCTCTCTGGGTCACTACCGAAGTTCTTAAAGTTTGTAGCTTTGGTGTGCTACTAATTGTCTCAGAGAGCATTTCTTGGAGTTCCTGATGGTTTTGCCTAGAAACTCTTTTCTTGGGAATGATGGTGGGGATAGGTTGGGAGTTCTGGTTCAAGGGTCCAAGAGAAAATTAACGTTTAAGAGGTGAGGGGTTTAGGATGAGGAAGTAAAGTGTGTTTTGTTTTCTGATTTGTTTGGTAACTAAATTTTGGTTTTCTGAATTTTATGCAGTGCTGCTAGAGATGTGATGAAAGGGCTTTCCTTGAATGAAATTATGCTTGGCATGGAACCATTTCTTCGAAAAGTGGTAAGATAACACTAAACTTCGCTTTATGGGTGATTTTTAGTTTGAGCAGTAAATTAAAAAGGAAAATCCTTTCATGTGATTGGAAATTTTTTGGTTTACAAAAAGAAAAAGTGAATTGGGGGTCATTTTCCCAATTTTGACCTCTGCTCTCGTGAAGAGACTGGAACCTTGATTCTCTTTTCTCTTTTTTAACTTCTTGTGTTTTGTGCAGCTTCTTCTCCCATTACCAGTTAGTCTTGGACTAGCTGAAATTCTTAATATTGAGATTCTAGACCTCTTTCTTTCATATAATGATTATCCTTCCTTTGATGATTAGGTGCGGGAGGAAGTGGATCGTGCAATTCTGCCATTCCTTAACTCATCTCCAACTCCAAGGTTAGCAGCTTTTTATATTTTGTTGGGATATGTTTAATAAGGATTTTGTTTCTCTAATAATTTAAGCATGATGTATCTTAGATTTCTAGTCAAGGTTGAGATATCATTAGGGCATCCCCAAGATTTTGACTTGAGATTGTTATCACTATTCTGTGTTGGATTGGTGTTATCTCTAACAACTACTAATCTGGTGGCTTTGTAC